AGAGAGAGAGAGAGAGAGAGAGAGAGAGAGAGAGAGAGAGACATGATACAAAGTAATGCAAACATTCTGCTTCTTCCATGGCTTTTCTGTAGGCTGCTGATTAAGTAGAACTAGACTAGAAAGGGGAAAAATTGCTGACATTGGGAGCCCAAAAGTCTGCAGCGCGTGTGAGATTTAAGATGGAATTCTGGCTATGTAGACAGACTTAATCAGTCTCTGCTCCTTTGAAATTTCAGCTGCTCCTGAGTATTTTTCTACCCAGTTTTTAGTGTAACTAGGAAATATTAAATTTAGAGTAGTTGGCATCTGTCTGCAAAATGTCTTACTTTAACTACAACCATGTTAATTTGCAACATTTCTGGCTGATGAGATCCATTTGGAATTAACTGAGAATTGTAGCAATTAAAAATGGAGAAGAAACTTGACTGAACTTGCAAAGCAAATTATATTTAGGAGACAAAAACATCTGCTGTTGAATGAATGGAAGGAAGACTTAGTAAGTAGCATATGACAATTTTTAAGAAAAAGATATACTATTTCATTGAAAAATGGCAAAAAACATTGCAATAACTTAAATAAAAATAACAAAATACTAGTAAGATTACTCATCTAATTGTTTAGTTATATTTGTGAATAATACTTACATTACAGATAGCAATGGAATAACATTTAGGCTTATATACTACGGCATAGCATTTTACAGCACTCTCTAAGCAATTTACATTGTAGAAGCATTATTATTTGCATATTGTTCCCAACAATCTGGATCCTCATTTTACCAACCTTTGAAGGATGGAAGACTGAGTCAACCTTGAGGTCCATCAGATCGAATTCCAGGCTGTGGACAGAGTACAGCACTTTAACCACTATATCATTAGGGTTGTGTACTGTACTGATTTATCTTTTGGGAGTTAGTTTGAATAACAAATATAATTTAAAATTCCATAATCAAATACTTGAAAACAATATAGAAAGTTGGAAGAGTACTTTATTAATTTGTTTCAATTTTATTATTTCAGCTTTTGCCTCTTTATTAAAATTGGTTTTATACCACAAAACAGTTTTGGCTTTAAAAAATTTTCTTGCTTATAGTATCAGAATAGCAAAAGAATAAGGATAGGACCATACTATAAGATTGAATAGTACTGTTTATTTTGTAAAATATATTATTTTTTCAGGAATGCAACAAAATTGTTAATTAACATGGGAAAGAAAGGAAATATATCTATAATTTTTAAAATTATATGTATATATGCAAATCAATTAATGATTGATGACTTTTTTGTAGTATAAATTACGTACATGAAGAGGACCTTTAGGTAACATATAATTTGAAGCATTAGCATTGTAAAGAAAGGCTTATAATATGTGTGTGTATAAAATGTCCAGGTATAAGACTAAATATTGATATTCTACAATCAGTTGGGCAACTCAGAATAGAGTACTATACATAGTCAGATATATAAGATGATTTTAGGGTCCTGAAAAAGATAGGGTACATTGTGTTTACTATTTAAAAAATGAAATAGGATGTCATTATACAGTTATATTTTGTTATATATACATGTCTCCAAGGCCTTGTCTTGCAAGAACAAGATGCCATTTTTATCAGTGTCTAAATTGTGAAACTACCTGCTATCCAAGGTGAGGAAGGCGGAACAATAATTGTAGTAAGTAATGCAATATGTAACTACAGTTTATTAGAAGACATATTAAATGGTCTATTATATGCTCATTTCTGCCAAAGTATAAGCTAGTTCATCATATTCATTGAGTATTATTTCTATGTTGTGTCACATATACAGTATTAGACTGAGAGCCAATGTTGGAGGCTGCTATGTTTTATTAAATCACTATAAGCAATTGAGATTTCCTACTAATTAAGAATGGAAATTTAGACCATAGATTTGTTCTAAAATGAGTCTAAGTTTATTATAACGGTTCTGTAGTAGTAGTCATTTTTGCCAAATATATTTACATATTACTAAGGCTCAATGGTTAAAGACACTGAGCTTGTTAGCTGAAAAGCTGACAGCTTGGGTTTGAGACCTTTGCACCGTGTGATGGGGTGAGCTCCCATTGCCTGCCCCAGCTCCTGTCAACTTAGCAGTTTGAAAGCATGCAAATGTGAGTAGACTTTCAATGGGAAAGTATCTGCAATCTGTGCATCTTGGTATATAGTTATTCTGGCCACATGACCATGGAAGTGTCTTCGGACAATGCTGTCTTCCTCAGCTAAGAAACAGAAATGAACACTGCCTCTAGAGTCGACACAACTGCACAAGAGAAACTTTTATTTTACCTTTAAGGGGCCTCTATTGCTTGTCTGAGCAATTGTGGTATTTTCAGGATGAAAGAGTAGAGCTTACTTTATGTGCTTTGCTGCCTGGTGGGAAGATAAGCAATTGACAGGTGGTGCATTGTTCTTAAAATTCTGTCATAGAAGTTACTCATCTCCTTTCAGAGGTCTTGAGCAAGCATGTACAAGTGTAAACAGGAGGAGAGGCTATTTATTATTCGGCTTTGGATATGTATCCCTTTCTATTTTCTGGACCTGCCAAGTTAAGATCTATGAAGACATGTTAAAGTTAGCAGTTAGATTTTCTTGGCAAGCTACAAGCTATAGAGGTTTCCTTGGTTACATATGCAATAGCTATTTTGGTTAGTAGTTGACTCAACATATGAACTGAGCAGTGCAAATGTCTTTCAGTGCTTGGGAAAGAATACTGTAATCTATTGAAAATCTCTAGGATGTTAGAATCTAATGAATTAGAATTTATTTTATTATTTGAAATAGTGCAAAGAATATAAGTAGCCTTAGAAAGGGTGCTTTATAATTACCAACCATGCCATTGTTAACAGTGGCACCAATCCCAGGTCACATGACTGCATTTTAGGCACTTATAAATTGACTTACATGGTTATAGCATCTTGTAGTCAAATTATTGTGCATCATCTCCCATATCCTTTCAGTTTTCCGCTATCTGCTCTCATTCCTTTTGTAGTCAACATCCAGTGAGTCCTGAAACCAATAAGTAATATGTCAAGCATTGTTGGCTTATTTTTTAAAAAAGTTTTTCTTCTCTTGTAAAAATTTCTATTTTTACTTACTTAGAGAATACTTCAACAACATTTGTTAAAAGTACTGTCTTTTAAGACTCTTAGTAGTCTGTTTTTCTTCCATATTCATAATTACCCAATCAAGTTGCCAAGTTCAATGAACTCAGAATTTGCTAGGAGAACAATAGAATGCTGAAGGTGTTTTTGAAATATGCTTTTGTCTTTAGCTCTTTCAGATAATGAGGAAGAATGTGCTAATACAAGTGAAACAATTCAGCAGACTTCAAGTTCAACTCTTATTTCTTCAAAGAAAAGGAAAAAGGTTGGTTGATTTTATTTTCACTAATAAAAGGCAATCTAGTGCACAGTGAAAAACATTTAAAGAAGTCATTGTTTGCTGAATGGAAAGTATACTATTCAAATGCCTGAATACCTCAGTTTAAGATTCAAGGGATATGTTAGAAAGTTATATAAGAAGACCAATGCAGAAGTAATCCATCACCCTTGCCAGACACTGAGCAAAGACTCTTAAATATTTATGCATTGTTCAACTAAGTATCTGTTTCCATGTGGAAAATGTCAAAGCATATAGACACTTCTCATTCTTGATGAATACACGTACATGGAAGGTATCTTTGCAAGGTATATTTGAAGGAAGAACAAGACCAGTCCCAATTCACTTTCGAGACTTTTTCAGTGCATGAGAGATTATCTAACCATCTTACCCAAATGACTGTTGATAAATGCAGAAAAGAGATGTATCTTATTATGAGCTCTAATGTTTTATTATGAGCTCTAATATTTGTGAAATAATTATGCCATTATATTAGCTTTATTCTACTTTGCATTATGGTTAAGTTATACAATAAGCAAGACAGTAAGCAAAATCCAAGATCCATATTAAACAATATCTCTTTTAGGCTAGACCAAGATCAACAAAAACTAAGATCTTTATAGCATTAAAAAATCCCTTACAGCTTTTTTAAATGTAATATTTGAAATGTTCTGTTCACTGATAACAATATATTAAGTGAATGTTGTTATGATCATTTTTTGTGACTATAGCCATGGAATAGTTTCTGTTCTTCTGTTATCTTAATAGCAAAAGAACATGATTTCAAAAATTATAAAGTCTTGGCTGACATGTACATGCCATAACATTGTATTTTAAAGTTCTTCCAAATGCCAGCTCATAATCTACATTTTTTCTTCTGCCAGCCTACAGAATGCTTCCTCAACGTTGAGAAAGAGAAATCTAAGGATGAAAAAGAAATTGAAATGAAGCCAAAGAGAAAAAGAAAGGTAATTCTTGATTAATATTTTCAATTAATATTTTAATTTTTATGCTACATTTTGATATAATAAGATGATGGTAAATTAAGTATAACTCTCAGTGAAATCATCCATATTTTTTATTTCATAATGTTTGTTTAAAATAATGTATTAACTAGTCTCAATATCATTTATATTTCTTCTGTCACTTTTCATTCTCCCTTCAGTTCAAGGAAAAATACAGTTGTAGTCTAATCTAAAATATTCTGTCCAAAATCCTATTCTAAATAGAACTGAACTTGGAATGTAATCTATATGTATATTTGTATATCTAATATAAAAACAAATATATTATTTTTCTGAGTCTTTTAGTCATATTTTGCCATTCTTAGTAAAAAGCATCTCAAGGATTGCTGATATATTTATCACTACATATATTCCCAGGTGGTAGGATATGGAGAACATTGTGTTGGCTTAAAATGTAGTGTCTAGATTAGACTTCCTAATTTGCACATTTGGGGTAACATTGGTTGCACTACTGACCATAACATGCATGGAAATCTCATGTGCACTTCATCCCATTGTTAAAAAGTGATGTATAAAAGCTTCATTTGACCAAAAGCATGATGGGAAGCCGAGGCAATATTGTATGGAATATTGTGCATTGCAATTATTTATTTATATTTGCCTTTATTATTTTTACAAATTACTCAAGGCAGTGAATATATCTAACAAATCTTCCTCCTCCTGTTATTTCAAGAGGAGTAAATATTAAAAAGCATAGAATAGTCATTTAGAGCAGTGGTTGCCAACCAGTGGACCGGGGACTACTGGTGGTCCATGAGAAAATTTTGGTGGGCTGCAGAGAAATGTCACCCCCAAAGCACTCCCCAAAGCAATTAATACAGGCTGCACAGAACACAAGGCTTATGTCACTTGCATTGCAAACAACACGAGGTAGTGAGGGGAGGGGGGAAAAGGCAGAGTTGGGGAACTTACCCCACTCGCCCCACATGCCTCGCCTGGCCACTGGGCTGCTTCTTTCTTCTTCTGCTTTTGGCTGCGCGCAAGGAAAGCAGCAAAAGTCTTTCTTTCTTTCTCCTAAACTCCACCAGAAATGAGTCTTTGGGACCCTACAAGGCATCCTGCTCCAAGAGGTTGCACTGGCAAAAACTTACTTCTGGCGGGGTTTGGGGGAGAGAAAGAAAGACTTCCGCTGCTTCTGCTGCTTTTCTTGCATGAAGCCAAAAGTCTTTCTCCCCCTGAGAACGGAGCTGGAGATGGTATCCTGTGATCCAGTGGTGGGATTCAAATTTCTTAACAAACGGTTTTGTGGGTGTGGCTTGGTGGTCATGTGACTGGGTGGGCATGGCTTGTATGTAAATATTATAAATATTTATGTAAATATTTATGTTTTTATAAAAAAGAGCAACTTTTACCCAAAATCAGACAAAAACAGGCAGGCAGATTGAGTTGAATCACAGATTCACTTAGAGATCTATCTATCTGCAGTTGGCTACCTAAGTCTGCACTGAAAAGCTTCGGTCCTAAGAAGGTTCGGCTCTGCTTTTATATTAGTTAGAAAGCAAGAAATCCAAGGATTTCCTCCTTTCTAGCTAATCTAAATCTCCTGGCAGAGCAGAACAGCTGATGGTCAGGAAAAGAAAAAAGAAAAATAGTAACTTAGTAATAGTAACTTACCAAACCAGGCAAGTTGGAGGGGCCAGCCAGTGGAGCGATTTTCCGGTTCTTCGAACTGTGGACAATCATAACACACGTGTGTGCAGCGTTTGCAAGAAATCATCAGCTGTGCTGGGCAGCTGACAAGCGCTGCGTGCGGGTGCGCTACATTTGAAAATCCTCTTGTTTCCTGCTTTTTCAACCTCAGCTGTGCCGCGCAAAGCAGCTGAGGAGGGAAAAGCAGGGAATAAAGGATAGCCTAGAGCCTGGGCGGGTGGGTGAGCCAAACACCAAACCGGTTCGGTGTCAGCTGCTCTTCACAGCTACCAGTTCTATAGAACCAGGCTGAACCAGTAGCATCCCACCCCTGCTGTGATCCCAAATAAAGAATGATCGATCAGTAGGAAAACGGGTTGGGGAATTTTCCTGCAGACTTTTGGGGGGATTTTGCCAGGGTCTCTGGTCCGCGGGATTTAAAATTATGAGTTTGGTGGTCTCTGAGGTCCAAAAGGTTGGCGACCCCTGATTTAGAGCAAATAGTTTTTGCCCAGCCAAATACATTTTGTCATCCTTATTGCTATGATGTAGGCCCTAATATGTCTAATGTTTGGTCAGATTCACTCTTTGTCTTTCTTCAGTGGTGCTCAGGGCCTCAGTCACTTGCCTATTCCAGGCTACAGCCAAGGCTTCAACCGAACCACTAGATAGATCTTCAGGGAAAACCCACATGCCGTATGGAATTCAGTAGGATCCATTAGTCCTGTAGGTAGGCCACCCTAACAGACTATGGCTCCCTGTAGTGTTGGGTGATCTTAGTGAGCCAGAGAACAACCCAATCTCTCCATGGTAATGGACTGATGGTAATGTTTCCAATGTCAGCTCGCACTATAACTGTCCTGAGGCAAAAACAATATCTAATGTGTGACACACACATACAGCAGGTATGCATTGGGTCCTCTATTATTTTGAAAAAGTCATGGATTCCTGAACCACTCCAGATTTACTATCAGTAGGTTGCAAGTTATAGTCCCCAAGGACCAACAACCTCAGCCTGACAATAGAATCCAGCAACTGAGGTAGGGAGGGCAGTGCAGAAGCAATAATTCCAACTATTCCAGAAGATCCAATTTTAACCAGAGTCTCAATCCTATTATCTGTGAAACAATCCCTAAACATTCTCAATGATCCACAAGTGACAATAGCATCCATGGTATATAAGAAAGATTTGAGAAAGGGAGTGAAGAGATGTTGCCTAGAGAACCATTAAATAAGAATGGATATAGTCTGAAGCTACCTAACTTCTCAGACTATAAAGGATACAATGGGAACTTTGTATTTTAAAACTTGCAAAATTGATGTCAACCTTCCCAGATATATCAGATAGGAAATAAAGCAGTCGAACTACTACTACTTTATTATAAACGTACATTAACAAAATCTTATAAGTTTAAAAGTTCCTCTCCTCTAGGCACTTTGCAGCTGTGGAGCACCTATCACTCTTAGGGAGTTCCCACTATGGTTGCTGGAAATAATTTTTCCCCCAGTAGGCACTTTCCCACATCTACATAATGGCAGAATCAGGAAAGCTGGCAACAAACATGGTAAGCAATTCAGAAAACATCTGTGTGGATGATAGAAACAGAGAAGGCTGAACATTCTTCAGGCTATTAATGAAGATATGCACTGTTCATGTTTTGTTTTTTATTATCATTTTATTGTCATTCATGTATTTTTTCAAGACTGAATCTATTTTTGTTGTTGTAAGCTATAACATTTTTCAAGTATTGGGATATAAATGGCTATCATTGTCCAGTTTAGAAGCAAATGAAAAAATTGAAATGTATTTGTTGGCTCCATATCATATGGACTATGCCTTTCTTTTTTCCTTTCCTTTTTTAGAAAAAAATTTCTGATCTTCTCACAGAAACTGTACCAAAGCCAGGTGTCCCAGCAGATGTACAAAAAATGCTCAATGAACATTTTGGAGCCAAACGTTCTGTGATTGAACTAGAAGAATTAAAACTGCCAGGTAATAAGGAGAAAATTAGTGAGGTATTATTCAGGATATTAAATTTTAAAAAAAGTTTGTAACAACATTTCTTTCTTATGAAGTATTATTTGTGTGTGATTTCTGAGTATTGTTTGACCAAAAAAAATAAACAAAACATACCTTCTGGTAGCTCCCACACTTTTCAGATGCTGCTTTTCGAAGTGTTTGTGTGAACTAATACTCTATATAGACCCATATGATGGCTATGTGGTTTCGACAGAACATTTATCATTAGCATAATCATAAAAATTGTACCATTCACATATATAGAGAGACAAGCATTCATATTCATACCACTAACTTGTGCTATCTTATGCCTGGCAGCAGGGACTTTAAATGAATAAAACTCTATATAAATATAAACAAGGGCTTTTCAATTGATAGCTCAGATATTTTTAATTGATCTAATTTATTTAATTGATCAAAGTTTTGGAATCACTTAATTGAGGCATAGAATAAAATTTAAATTAGCAAAGCAAAATAGAATTATTTTGTAACTAGAAGACGTGCAGCTAATTTGCTTCACCATTTTGCACCTTAATGCACCATAAAGCAATGAGTTAATCAGTGTCCTGTAATGAGTTTGCCCTATTACATTGCTATATAGCAGCGGTGTCAAACTCACATCATCACACTGTCATCATGTGGCATATCGTGACTTCCCCCCCTTCGCTAAACCAGGGGTGGGGGTGGCCAGCGCGTGTCGCATCTGGCCAATAGGCCGCAAGTTTGACACCCCTGCTATACAGTATCAATACTTGATTTCTATTAGCTTTTTTCTTTTTAGTACCCAATAGCGTGACAAATCTTGGAATAAGATATTATTTTACGGTAATATCAATGAAAGAAAGATTTGCTGGAATTTCTACATGAAGAAAATATATGAATATCAAGAGAGTCTGGTAGAAGATTGTGATCTCCTTATATTTGCATAATTCATTATTGTTCTCCGTGCTGACTTGCTATATATGTCATGGATTTATACTTTTATTCTGTTATTAAATAAATTGTCCTGGAATGTATATGAAGAGCACTATGTGAATACTTATTTTATTTAGCTAACAAAATACTTTATAAATCACAGAACAACATGACTGAAAATGAAAAAAAGTTTTGGAATAATTCTCAAAATTTCATAACCAGCTATTAGATATATTTAAGAATGCTTCCACATAAAGTTTTTATGATAGAGTTGTCCTGCTCCTGTTCATGGATATTTATAAGAAGCAAGGTTCAATCTTTTATTTACATTTAGCCTATGTATGTGTGGGTTTTGTATTTAGACTGTTTTGTAATCACTAAAGAAATCCCATTAAGGGAAGTAAGACAACATACCTATGCAATATTGTTGCTGAGAGCTGTTGACAGTCTGAAACTCACCTTGGATTTGCTGTTCTGGGTTGGACTAGTGGCTTAACAGTTTGCACAATATATTTTGTCATAGTGGTTAACCCTGGTCTCAAATGAGAAAGCTACAAAGTATCTCATCACAAATACATCCAGTTCAATAAAAATATATTTAAGGATAATGGGAAGATAACTTTGAAAAGAATCTAAATATTGTTCCCATCATTTGGTTAATCCACTTTAAAGCTTTTTGTTATTAATTTTGGGTGCTTGCAAAATTCTGCTTTCTGAAAGAGCATTTTTCCTGGTTTATAACAAAGCAGCTTCCTGAAAATTTAATCCAAGGATTTAGCTATACATTAAGCAACAATAGTTGTCTATTATGGTTTCAGATTCCTGTTTCCTCCCTGCCAATGATCTCACCCACAGCTTTACTTCCTACCTGAAAGAAAGTAAGTAGTAATTTAGTCAGAAATTATTCTATGTCATTCTTTTCTTAAAAGGCTTAAAATAATTTGAGATAATATACTGTACATGCGTGTGTTTATATTATGCTTTTTTCAAAAATGCTTACTTTATAGTAGAAAGTATTATTCTGTCATGTTGAACAATGTAACTTCTAGTTTCATATGCTATATTCATAATGTAGTTTGGGTATAATTGAGCGCTGATAATCAAAAACTAAAGACTCAGGAACTAAAGACTCCCATCCAATAGGAAGAACAAACCATTTTAATAATCCCTCTGTAAAAGCTGAATTGAAAAATGGACTTAAATATGTTTAATTTTGAAACACATTTAAAGTTTTGTTGTTGTTGCTTTATTTTCAGTTATACCAACAAATATTACCTATGAGATTTATGTAATCGCGATCTGGATGCTTGGCAATCTGTTCACAGATATGAGCTCTTTCCAGGTGCCCGCAATTTTGTGCTTGCCATTTGTAATTTTTTCTGTCAGCTTCTCAGAATGTCAATGAGGAAGCCATCAGGGAAGTTTGCAAGCTGAGAAGAATCCCTCTTCTTTTTGGAGACTGGCTGAAAGAGCTGCCTGCTGAGGGAGTTAAACTTTTCAGCTTCCTGAAAATGTAATCCAAGTTCTTAGTTGTACAGCATTAAGTAACAACACTTATCCATTATGGCTTCAAGCGGAGTGGAGAAACAACTCATGATTTGAGTTCTATTTCTGCACCCTTCTGCATGACATCCTCCTGCAAGGTGCAGAAATGGAACTTAGATCCTGATGGTTTGAAAGTTCCCTTCCACACATGGAGTTGAGTTGAATTCCTTCAACCAGATGAAGAAACAGCCCACATGCTAATAATTTCAGCTCTGCTTCTCCACCCCACTGAAAGAATTCAGTTGCCTTCCACTCATGGAGTGGGTGGCTGAATTCAATCAGCAAGTTCCTGATTCTCAATCATACAAGAGGATGCCAATATCTAAGCAGAAAGCAAAGAGGCAGCGTGATTCAGTAGTCAGTACGGAGTTCTCGGGAATGCTCTAGGAGGCCCAGCACAGGTCTCTGAAAATGCTTGGATTTTGGCAGGGAGGCTTTACAGCTCCTGAGCATTCTTTTTTTTTTTTTTTGGTAAAAGTTTTATTTGGATTTTCACAAAACATCATACAAATAAAATATCTTTTCTGAGAGCAGCATGATTCCAGGTTATCACATCTCCATACAGACATAATCTCAATTATATATTCATCTTTATATTCTATTGCGTATCTTGTCACTATTTTATCATTTTCTCAATAATTTTTTCCTTCCCTTACTTTCCTCAGCCTTATTTCTGATTATTTCATTCCTTTCTAATTCAATTACATATCTTTTTCTAAATTTCTATATCTTTCTAGTCATTATATTTGTACTTTTGCCTGTCCTGCTTACAATTTCATACATTCTTTTTCCATCATCGTCCCGAAAGGGAAAAGAAAAAGAAAAAACAATTCCCTCTCCTTCCAGGCATTAAAAAGCAAGGTTTCCTCTGTGATTACCAAATAGAATGTATCACCTTTATATCTTATAGTTGTTATCCATTCAAATCTCATTTAATTTATACATTATACAATGATAACTTCCAGTTTCTAACTTCCAGTTTCTAATATCTATTTTATATCATATAACTCTTATCAACCAAATTCCGCTTGGTACTTTCCCTTAAAAATACACACTAAATTCTAAAAAAAGAAAAAATATATAATAATAATGAATAAAATGGTTATTCTATTCATATTTATCCTGACAACTGATATTGATTTCATTATAAATGTTTTACATTTCTTTTCAATTATATTTTATAAATCGTTAAGAACAGATTTTCATTCATTCCTCTTATTCCCTCTTCTTTTACTTTTGTTCCCTTTCTCTCTTTATTTCATTTAATTATTAACAAACGTTCCATTACATAACAATACCAGTTTTGTCTTTCACTTTAATCACCTATGTTTCATATTTTCTAACTCATTACTATTTCCAATACAACAACGCTATCTCTTGTACCCTTGCAGAATCCTCTCTTTCAATTTATATTTTAACCATTATCTCTATGTATTTTAAATAGGCTAATACCTTTAATCCTTGTACGTTTCCCCTGTTTCTTTATTTCTTGTTTCCATCCCTTATGACTTCTTTTCCTTTTAATCTTCCCCTCTTTTTCTCACCACCCTTTTTGTCCTCCTATCCCTCTGATTCTCCCTTCTGTAATCCTCTCTTCTGCTTCTCTCTAGTATTATATTTACTTTTCAAACTATTCTTTTTTTTTAATTGTTTCCTCAGATCTTGAGTTTTTTTACTCCCATTCCCCCCTTTTCCCATTTTACCCCACATGGAATTGTTTGGTCGTTAAAGATGGCTTCTTCTTTGTCCAGCCCTTCTTGTTCTTCAAGCATTTCTTGTTGTTTTTCATAGTTCAAAATCTTCATTTCTAAGAACTGAAGTGCGAAGTCAAAGGATCCTGCCCCTCTTGCTTCTCTTTTTTCATTTTTTAAGTTCCATTTTTAGTTCCTCAAGGAGTACTGCCATTTTAAGCACTTTTAAACAACCACCCGATCAATTTTAGTTCAGTCCACTAGAAATCCAACACCCAAAATTCCAAAAATCACCAAATGATCCAAAACTGTTTCTTCTTGCTTCTTTTTTCCACTTTCCCTTTCCGGGGGCTCTGCTATCTTGTAACAAAGTTTCAGTTACAATGTATCCTTTGGAAGTCTTGTTAAAATTCCACTGTTAATTCTTTTTATTTCCAGGTGGTACTCTCTGCTGTTTCCAAGTCCCACCCTTTCTTTTTTCCTCTACTTTCCTCCTTTTAAAGGCTTTGGAATATCCAGAAAGTCCTTGTTTTCCCTTTGACACTTTAATTTCAGCTTAAAATTGCCTGTTAGTGTCAAAGTAGATTAACACAAATTTCTTGCTTAAATCCCTTCTTTTTTAACATTCGAAGCCAATTGCAGTTGTTGGTGTGAGAAAAAAAATCTTTTTTCCTTTTCCCTCTCTCCTTCGCCACTTTAAAAATCTTTTAGAAGTAATTTAAATTCCAGGGTACCTTGCATAGATGTTATCTCTGCTTAGCCCAGTCTGTCAAGCTCTCCCCTTTGTCTTCCCCCTGCTCAATCTTGTCTGGTTGGGTTCCTCTTTGAGGTGGCCATTTCTGACCACCACTGCAACCGCCTTTGGGAAAGGGAGTAAAGACCAGCTGAGGAGGAAAGATGCGGCTCCCCTCAACTCAGCTGGCAGTCTCCCCCCTCTTCGCCACCTCTATGGGGTGACTTCAGCCCCATATCCAAAGGATCAGGGCGCTCCAGCAGCGAGCACGAATCAAAACCGCTCACGATCACAGATTGTGAAGTCAGGAAATGCAGAAAGAATGAGAAAAGACACGGGCAAGAGAGGGGGAGGAGAAGCAGTGGGAAACACGCGTGTGAAAGAGAGAAACACAGAACTAGTAAAATGTTGAAAAGAAATTGCCTTTTCAGAGATAATGGTTGATGAATTAAGGGGGGGATTCTGCAGGGTGACAAGGGGTAATAAGAATATTTCTGCAATTAAAAATATTTAGAAAATAGGGTAATATAGATACTGATAACTCTTATTAAAGGGGGGGAAATATGCTGTGGAATCCAATTGAGAAGATGTAATGACTAATGGTTTATTGGGAATTAAGATGAGGGAATAAAGGTATATTCTAATCATTAAGGTGGAACACTTAAAATAGTAAAAGGGGAAACTTATACTTGTTCTTTTGTGTGTGTGTGTGTGTGTGTGTGTGTTAAGATCTGTATTAATTTAGAATTTATAAAAAAAAAAGTGTAATGGAAAGGGAATGTGAAAGACTAAAGAACCAGCTAAATTAATAAGCTTAATAAGTTTAATATAGATTATTAAAAGCAAGGAGAGACATTGAACTTCATTATTACCATTATTAGGCAAATATATATTGTTTATTTTTATTTTTAAAATAAATATTAAGGATTATACTTGAAATAATTGAAATGAAATTTAAAAATGTTTAGATTGGGATTAATGAAAGAATTTAGAATTAAACCTTATTATTATTTATTAGGCAAATATATATTGTTTATCTTTACGTTTAAAAATAAATATTAAAGGATTATATTTGAAATAATTGAAATGAAACAAAATTGATTGAAATTAATGAAAGAGGCTAGAATTAATGTGTTTGTTTCTCTCCTTACTGAAAATTTGGAATGGAAAAGGTAATAATAGAATTAAGTATGCATATATCAATGTATAATTTCTGTCATATTTGTATGTAAAGATGATGACCCGGAAATATGTTGTCCACTAAAAAGAGATTTTTGTTTTTAATGTGAAAACTGAATAAAGTCTGTTTAAAAAAAAAATCTTTTAGAAGTAATTTAAATTCCAGGGTACCTTGCATAGATGTTATCTCTGCTTAGCCCAGTCTGTCAAGCTCTCCCCTTTGTCTTCCCCCTGCTCAATCTTGTCTGGTTGGGTTCCTCTTTGAGGTGGCCATTTCTGACCACCACTGCAACCGCCTTTGGGAAAGGGAGTAAAGACAAGCTGAGGAGGAAAGATGCGGCTTCCCTCAACTCAGCTGGCAGTCTCCCCCCTCTTCGCCACCTCTATGGGGTGACTTCAGCCCCATATCCAAAGGATCAGGGCGCTCCAGCGGCGAGCACGAATCAAAACCGCTCACGATCGCAGATTTCGGTCCGTCGCCGAAGAAGCCCAAACCGGAAGCCAGCTCCTGAGCATTCTGACTTCCCTTCCTGTGAGTCATCTTGCACTCCTTACTCTATCCACTTAATGACCTGTATGATCACTTACGGCCATATCCGGCAGGAGTGCCAGGATTGCAGTCATTGAGCAAAGCAATCACATGGGTAGTCCCATGACATTATATTTAATGACTGCTTCCCTTAACAATGTAGATACCAGGCTCAATTGCACTTGTAAGTTGAGAACTACCTGTGAAATATGTGCCTCTTTAAGACTTTGCAGGGGCTGGGACTAGATGTTTTCTAAGATTCCTTCCAATTTTTATATCTCATGTATCTAAGATAGTTTTAATATAACAAAGATTCCTAACAATAGTTATTGCATACTTAAATAGCAAATTTATCCAAATACCTTTGTAGAGGTCTTGAGTTTGAAGCTATTATACATTATATGTTTGATTTAATTTGTATTGAGAGTATTTTATCTTCTTTTGGCACATTCCAGTGACAAAGAATGTAGATTGCTTACAGAATTTAGACAGTTATATTAAAGTCAAATAGCCTGGTAACAGTTATTCTTAAGAAAGTTGGCATTATTTTATAATAGTTTATGCAGATTACCAATCACATTACAACCAAGGCATTAAATGGACTGAGAAAGAGTTTGTATTTTCTAGAATTTTATGGCAATGGCATAGCTTTGCTCTGTGGGCTTCATGTTAAGTTCCACCCTAACAATATTTGTGTCTTTTTTTTCTTGCATGGCTACATATTGGTCACTTTTTAATGTAAATTACTGGAGTTCAAAGAGTTGGGATTGCATCGAGTAGAATATTCTATAATAATATTAATATATTATAGAATATGTATTATCTTCTACCTTCCATTTAACTTATCTATTTAATGCGTACATTTAACTTTGCTAGTTGTTTTTTTGTTAATTCACTAGTAATTTTCTTTTTTTCTTTTATGTGTTCAAGAACAGTATGGTAAGCTATTATTTAGGATGCACTTTCATTTTTCATTACAGAATATATCGAAAGTCAGGCAGGCCTATAAACCTATTATATAAATAACATTAAATGTTCAAATTTGTGGCCATTTTCTTCTAAATATTTCCTTACTCAGTTGATACCTGATCTTTGAACATTCCTAAGTACATTTCGGGGGGGAGGGGGGGACATTAATAAAGTTAATAGAACATTGTGATTGGCCTATGGTTTCTGGCTTTTGGTACACCCTGTATATCTATTTTTAAAATAAAGAAGCTGTTACATGATTCATTTATTTAGGATATTAGTTAATTGTGTAGGCACAGTCTGTGCTCCATTAGGAGGCTTCCTCATTATTTTCTAATATAATGTCACATTACTGTATTTATTAAATCTTTGTTTTTCACATTTCAGTCTGTCCTAAATGGGCAAAGCTCCGTAAAAACCACACAGAGAAGTCATCAGTAGTGATGCTAGTAATTTGCGGATCTGCTCTCCGGTGTCTGGAACTCATCAGGTATCTTGTTTGCCATCAGGAGAGAATCCTTTCCCCAAAACCACCTAATGAAAGGGACAACTAGGGTATCAGGTTTTCTCAATCACTATTGGTAACAGGGCTGGGTCATTCTCTAAATCCTGGTCTCACAATACTTGGGAAACATACTGGTGTAGTCCCAGCCTATATATTTGAACTGCATTTAAAAAAAAGGAATTCATATATGCAAAGTTTTAATTCAGGGGATGAAATAAAAAATGCATCCTAGTCAACTGTATCCTAACCAAGTCGGGTGATATTAGCTATCAGTAGACTATGTCAAAAGCTTGAAAGAAGCAGCTGCAAGATGCCTTGGCTTAGCTCCCACTTGCATGAGTCTTCAGGAACTGAACCTGAACCTTCTTGCATACAGATCAAAAATATTCCTTTTTCCTCCTGGCTGAGGAAGAAAAGCCCCATAAGTATGGCTTTCAAGTTACATAATGGAATTAATGTATATTTTTCTGTTTTCGTTTTCTTTTGGATAAATTTTAGTGCAAAAATTCTGTCGTTTTCATGTTTTCAGCTTTCTTTTTATTAACAGGATGTTCTTTCTTAGATCAATGGCAACGTTCAAAGGAGATGGGAAGGTTATGAAATTATTTGCAAAACATTTAAAGGTAAATACAGTAAAAGGGAAGTACCATAATTTTATCTAAATATAAATATGGTGCAAGTATATGTATATAGTCTTCTTTCTTTCCTTCCTTCCTTCCTCTCTCCCTCTCTCCCACCCTTCCTCCCATTTCCACTTTTAAGGAGTGCAGGAATAACCATAATAGCTTGATGGCTGGCAGAGGGCATCGAAGCTCTAAAGAAACACATAATGTTTCATTTTCCAAGGAAGCATAAATAGGAAAAAAGTGAACATGTGTACATCATTCTGCATAGTGTAAGACTTTTGGAGCAGGGGAACTGAGAAACAATTTGTGTTCAGACATGAAAAATCAGCAATTACATGAAATAAGTCGATAAGCCGTTGGGCCCTGCCATAAAGTAGATTGGCTCAACTATAGATTTTGAGCTTTGCTGTATTGTTTTTCCATATAACAATGTTGAATTTCCATATAGAGTTGTCACGTAATACAATTTTGAACCTTTTAGAGAAAAGAAGAAATGATTATAATTAAGTTTCTTGTCTCCTAATCTACTTTCCCCCCTTTCTGGTTTCTTGAAATAGATACAAGAACAAATGCAAATGCTGGAAAAAGAGGTTGTTCATGTGGGAGTTGGAACACCTGGAAGGATAAAAGCACTAATACAACAAGGTAGAAAGTTACAATATAATTTAAAGTTATGTGAAAATGAAACATAATTATTTTTCAATTATTCCAATCAGAGGAAGAATTTTAAAAAGCTAAGAATTACTGAAATAAGAGCTGCTGCACAAAAGGTGTTAAGTGAATTCATTAAAACAGTGTCATGACACAAACCCTGTTCCTTTTGTGTGTGCAATTGAATCACTTCATGCCTATTTAGAAGACCACCCAAAAATTTCAACTGGTCCAGAATACAGCAGCGCACACAGTAATGGGGTCCTTAGATTTATTTATTTAGCACTTCTGCTGCTCAAACTACACTGGGTGCCAGTTTCTTTCCAGATACTATTCAAGGTGCTGATCATCACCTTTAAAGTCCTATATAGCATATGGCAAGGCTACATGTGGGACCGCCTTTCCCTAAGGACATCTAGCTGGTCCCTTCTCCCAAATGTTGTCTTCTGATTGGAACCAGGAAGCTTGGTTTCCGTGTCGTAGCTCCTGTCCTATGGAACATTATGACCCCTGAAATATGGCAGGCCTCCACCCTTTAAATCTTCCATAAGACTTTGAAGACCTGGCTTTTCCTCCTTTTATGTCAAAATGGAAGATTGACTCAGAAGCTGAACAGGATCTTTGATTTAAACTGCTGAGATGGACAGGCCTAAATCTGCAAAAGTTACCTGCCTTTGAATGGAATAGCAACAACTCTTAAGAATCATTTTGACATGCAGATGTTCTGTTATCTGTAGCCATATTTTCCTTTCTCCTCAGAAGGCCTTAAGCTGACTTCCTTGAAATATTTTATCTTAGACTGGAACCATAGGGATCAGAAGTTAAGAAGATTAATTGACATCCCAGAGGTACAAACTTTTGTCTCTGTTCATGTTGCTTGTTGGGTGTTGATGGTGACATTTTATAGTTTATATTCTAGACTTTTAAGAGAAAGGAAGTAGGATTTTATACATTCCAAACTGAAAAGTTGCCTTGTTTACAATTTCACATTTGCATTATACCCACTTCTCACAATTCCTGGAAGATAGCAAGCTTTTATCTTGAATCAATAGCCAGAAAATTACCATAATTTAAATTAAATTATTACCAGTGCAGCATAAGGATCTCAAACCCCAATTGCTTTACAAAAAAAGTTAAATGTGACTAGATCTCTAGGATATTAAAAGCAAGGGGCCAGAGTTTGAGAGAAAGCCTATCTGAGAACAGTCTGAATTCATCAAGAATAGTAATACTTTAGTTTCTTATTCTCAAATTGTAGAGATTGTAGATCATAGCTGATCTTAAAACAGATCTAGAAATCATTTAGCAAATCTTTGGTTGATTTACTGATAAGGATTCTGCTTTCAAATCCTAACTTCCAACTAAAGAGGGAGTTTTAAAAAATGTTTAAAACTTACACCAACTAATCTTGTACTTATGAAAAAAACTTCGGTGATAAAGCAAAACATCTGAATATAAAGTTTTCATAAAGGATAACTAAAATAAGTTATATTATTATTCTTGCAGTTAATTAATACAATTTCATACATTTAATTATTTTTAAAAGGACAGTATTATTAAAAATAAATCGAAAAATGTTTCATTTATATACAAATATATATAATACTCTTTTTCTATAATAATGGTAAAATTATCTAGTAAGGTCTACAAAAATGTCAAAAACTAAAGAGAGAATGTGCCCCCTTGTGGCCTTTTTTCAAATGTGAAATTTACATATTAGCTACTGCAGTTAATAAAATTAAAAAGAGGCAGGTGTCTACAGAGATATGTATGTCCTTATAACAATTATACATTTTCCTTCTTTCTGGATGTTTTTCATTTTATAAAGGTTAAATTTACTTTATTTATTACATTTATTCCTTACTGCAATCTCACAAAACTCTCATCAGCTTTATAGAATGTGGAAACCATTGATTGAATCCATCCATTGTAAAATAAAAGTAATAAAATCCTAATGATCTAAAAAAAAAATTGAAAACCAGGTGTTATTCTTCAAAGGCCAAATGAAACATCCTGTGTCAAGGTTGAAACTTTATTGGTAGGCTACTTCAGAGGATTAGAATTCTTCAGAAAAGCATTTCCTCTGAGCTTTTACTTCCCACAAATTTGAGATTCCTCAAAGGGGTTGAGCTAATTTTGAATGTAAGCCGATGCTAAGCTATAAAGAACATTCTATAGGTAAAACCAATACTTTAGATTGTACCCAGACTCTTATACAAAGTCAATGCAGGGTCCATGGCATAAGAGTAATGGGCTTCCATTAGTGAACACCAGTAAGTACCTGAACTGCTCCATATTAGACCAAGTCAAACTTCTAAGTGGTCTTTAAAGGCAGCCAGCTGTGGCATATATCACAGTAATCTAAGGAAGTAATGATGAGGGCATGAGTTGTTGTACAAAGGTCCTTGCATAAAAGTAAAGCTTCAAATGGCATATTAGCTATGCTGGTCTCCTTGCCTTTCTGTTCTGTTAGGAGCCAGAAGTCCAAGGGGACACTCAGATCACAGACTTGCCTCTTCAGTGTAGCACTTCCTCCCAAGACACATCATTCTCAAAGGATTCTCTTCATCCAGATCCTCACTTACGCACCTTTTCCCATCCAGACTCAATCGCCTGTCACTGGGACAAGACCTAACAACTTCACAAACACAGCCTGGGATACAGCATTTAGCTGACCAGGGTGACACTTTCTTATTTGGTCACCAAATTCTTTTTAATAAGCAGCAAAGTATGGCAGTAACCCCAGTAGAAATTGGTTTAACTTCTTTACTGATAGTAATTGTTACTCAAACTGTTAAAATTAGAAATGATAATCATTCAAACAAGTTCAAGAATTTTTACAGACAAATTTAAATAATAGAGTAGTTAAGCTACTGGTTTAGAATAGTTAATTAGTAAATGATTAGCTGCTGATTAGTAAATGATTAGGTTTGATCTATTATGCATCCTAATGAATACTTACTATTTCATATCCATTTATAGGCTCTATTATGCAAATATTAAAATGGGAGAACTGCAAGGTTTTAGCTATGTATGTTTAAACTTATTTTTAAAAGTCTGCATTAATTGTAATTGCTGGTAAATATTTTTTTTCAGATAAAAAAAGAAACAATTGATCTTCTAGAAATGGAATTAATCAAGCTATGCAGAAATGGCTCTGTGAAGTTGGGACTCTTTTAATAATTATTCCTGTAGTTCATTCTATCATCCGTTGGCCTCTGCTGTATTGAGCTGCCTTTAAAAGTGCACAAAGCTGAAGATGTGTGGCAGATCCTTTTGTCATCCAGCATTATTTTATAATAAACAATATTCTGTGTGATGTCCACTGGAATTTTTTCAAATTTCTATCATGGAAGGCCTAGAAGTTGTTTTAAAATCCCATATCTAAGAGAAATGAATTGAAATCATTAGAAAACATGACTAAAATCATGACTAAAATCATATATCAGATATAAGACAGGACATCTTAGCTGCAATCTGTCCCTATTCCATCTGCAACACAATAAAAAATAGCTTGCCTTGAAAAGTTGTTGAGCTAGAAAAACGTGGATTCCTGTCAGGTATGGAAAATATCCTAAACCTGTTGTCACCTTCACAATGTTGTTGTAATCCAGTTTCCCTCAAAATTCAATCACTATGCAACCCTTAAAGCAAAGAATAATTTCTTCCCATGCTCTTTTGCATTGGGAAGAATATGTATGTATGTACATGAATATGTATGTATGCGAAAATATTTACAGACCCCTCACATCCTGGACATAAACTGTTTCAACTCCTTCCCTCAAAACAATGCTATAGAGCACTGCACACCAGAACAACTAGACACAATTTTTCCCCCGAAAGCCATCACTCTGCTAAACAAATAATTCCCTCAACACTGTTCAAACTATTTATAAAGTCTGCACTATTAATTATTACTATTAATCTTTTCATCACTCCTTATCACCCATCCCTCCCACTTGTGACTGTATGACTGTAACTTTGTCGCTTGTATCCTTACGATTTATATTGGCTGTTTCCTAGTATGATTTGATTGCTTATTGTACCCTATGACTATCATTGAGTGTCGTACCTTATGATTCTTGACTCTTGATGAATGCATCTTTTCTTTTATGTATATTGAGAGCATTTGCACCAAGACAAATTCCTCGTGTGTCCAATCACACTTGGCCAATAAAGAATTCAATTCAATTCTATTCTATTCTATTCTACATGTATTCTATCTTAGCAATTGGAAGACACTTGATACAGAACAAAAAGTGTTGGTTTTGTTGAGCTATCCAGTATCAGGAAGCTTAAAAATGGAATTCAGTTTTTTTTTAAAAAAAATTCCTGCTTTACACTATGCAAGTTTTTTTACAGAATAAACATCTCACATTGTGCATTTTATTTTAAAAGTTTTTAAGTTACATTTAAAATTGTATTACCTAATTATAGCAACATATACAAAAACAGAGTGATTACAGTATGCTGAGGTAAGAACATGCCTAGGTAAGAATTCTAATAATGACTATGTGCATTCATTCTTCCCTGAACTATAGCAATGATCACTCTGCACATTTAGAATTCATTTATGAGATACAGTATTAACTTAGGTCAAACAAAAAATGTAAGAATCTTGCAAGAAGGTTGTTTGTGCCAATATAGGCACAGTAGGAATTAGTATTAGTACCTAAAAAGTAGTGCTGTAATTTAAGTATGCTGTTTTCATCCGACATATATACTGTATATATACATTTCCATTACTCATGTATGTCCTTATACAATGTTGTAATATTCGATGTGAAAAGCTTTTATGACCATAAAAGGGAAGATCCGCTTGATTGTATATTGTAAATAAGCTAAGGCTAATGGCCTGAATATATGTCATCCTTCCAATTAGACACCTTACATAAATGTATGTATAATTATATAGTAAGATACTGGAAAGTAGCCTTACAGTGGCATTTAATTGTGATCATTTGTATCATTTATGGAAAAACTCACATATGCAAACTTGTAGGTTTTTGTATGATATGCACACATATATTCATTTTAATTGCCTTATATTAAAAATCCTTTTTTTAAAAAAATATAATTAGAATTTCAACAAACAGCTTCAAAAAACTCAGTATTACCTATGAAGCCTAAGTTATTTTATTTCGTTAGGCACTAGAAAGTTAGCTGAAATGGTTTTTCTCCTTACTTTATGATTTAACTTGATGCCATTGGACATTTTCGGTAGTATAACTACCATTTATTTTATTTTTTTTGCACTATAAGACACTGCAGACCATAAGACCTAGCTTTTGGGAAGGAAAACAAAAAAAATCTGCCTCTGCCTCCCATCAATTTGCCCCCTTGCAGCAAGCATCCTGATTGGCTTCAGCACAGCCTGATTTAGCACAAGCAGCTGATTGGTGGTTGGATCAGCCTCCCGGAATACTGCCGACCAACTGTTCCAGGCTGCAGGGATCACCACCTCCATGCACCCAATTTTTGGCCTCCACGCATCCCATTTTTAGCTTCCATGTATCCCATTTTTGGCCCGTTCCAGGCGGCAAGGATTGCCGCCGCTAATTGCTGCTGCCACCATTTGGCAGCGGCAAACAGCAGTGGGGTGGCGGTTGGCAATGATCAGCAGCGCAATCCCCACCACCTGGAACAGGCCAAAAACGGGATGTTCAGAGGGTGAAAATAGGGTGCATGGAGGGAGAACAGCCAAAGGATGGGGCTGGCAGGGGGGCAAGGCTTCAGCAACATTCGCTCTATAAGATGCACAGACATTTCCACCCACTTTTTTTGGGGGGGAAGTGTGTCTCATAGTGCAAAAAGTACAGTATTATATACTTATTTTTAATATTTATCTTTTAATATATCTAATATTTATCTTTTAATATTGTTAATATATACAGTATAAGTAATTATAGTTATAATGAAATATTAAGGCATCTAAATTTGATCTGCATCATTATATGCACCTGCACAATTTAGTTTGAAGAACTTAGGTTCCAATTCTAGTTGTAAACTAAGAATAGAAACGAAAGTTATAACTGATAACTCCAAAACAGTCATTATCACTTAAATATTTGAGTTACTTTCCTTCTGTTTTCCTTCTAGAAATGTGTTAATAGACAGGAACTGTCTCTGTTAATATGCTGCACCCAGCATTTCAATATGATTAGGTGTAAAACTGCAATTAAGTCTATTAACAGCAACAAAACAGATCTTACAAGACAAGAATAGATGGAAGGTCATTAGAGTGATACAACCTAGAATTAAGAAGACATTTCCTAACAATGAGAACAATTAATCAGTGGAATAGCTTGCCTCCAGAAGTTGCCTCCAGAAGTTATTTTCAAGAGGATTTTTTTTTTTTTACAGAATGGTATGGGGTCTCCTGCAGGAGCAGAGAGTTAGAACAGAAAGCTTCCAAAGTACCTTCCCACCCTATATTCACACACAAATTTCTTCAGTCCATTCTGGCACATATTTTATTCACATGAGTTCAAAAGAATCACATAAAAGAATGAATACAAAGAATATGTGAACGTATAAAATCTATACATCAGTTGTTCTCACACATTCAACCCTTAGAATGCTATATTACAGAATGAAAAATAATTTACATATAATTTGTATAAATAAAAACATGAGGAATGAAGTAAGGCACAAGAGCAATTTTCTATGGAATTGAAATTAAACATTTTATATTACACAGTTGTGATTGTCACGATTAAATTTACCAGTGAGCTAACATAAGATATTGTGTATTTAGCAACACTATACACAATAGTCTTGACTTATACATTCACAACACATTTAAAAGTCCATAAAACTGGGCTATTGCATTTTAAAGGATATTCCATTTTGTCATCACTACAGTGCTGATAAATAGTTTAAATCCACATTTTTTCATGTGCTTTCTTGATACATAGTTAAACATGGTAAAAAGGGAAATGAATTTGCAATGTAATACAGCTTTGTGTTCAATACTTTTCTTTGTACATAAGGTCACTAATCAATTCAAATATATACATGTCAAGAGATAATTACTACAAGATTAAGTACCTTAATTCTAAGCTAATGATCAGTTCATTAACAATAATTTAAATCTCTGTCTACATCAAGCAGCAATTTCCTTTCAAAATTTTTTTTTGCCACATTTTAATGTAATTGACAATAGAATTCACAATTTAAAAGTTACCAGAGTTTTTTTCTTAAGGCATAAAAGTATTTAAAATCTTTTGGAAAAACAAGCTGTACATTTATAAATGTATGAAAATCCTGACCTGTATTTGCAAATGTATGCACAATATATTGATGTGCTTATAGCTTGCAATATAAAAAAAGGTTATCTTCAAGGCCTATAGTTTTATTACTGTGGGGGGAAAAGCCACAATAGTGTGAGTGGGTGGTTATTTTTTATAAACTACAGTATTTTTCGGGTTGTAAGACTCACTTCCTCCCCCCCCCCCCAAAAAAAACCAAAATGGGTGGAAATGTCTGTGCATTGGTGCTGATCCTTTGGTGAACAGCAGCTGGGCTGCCACGGCAGGGTCCTTTTACAGTGCTGAACCCCACCTCTTCTGTCTTTGTCATTGCCCCTCTCTTCTGTCTCTTTGCCGCAGTGCAGGAGTCAATAGGCAGAGTTGGCACATGGGAGAACACCTATACGTAGTCCTCTCAGGCTCCGTCTGATTTTTTTTTTATTTTCCTCCTCTAAACCTAGGTGCATCTTATAGTCAGATGCATCTTATAGTGTGAAAAATACAGGTATATTCTTAGCTGAAAAGATTACATCTTCAGCTAATAAATTCTCCATAAAGCTTTCTGTGGTATAATATTAATGTAACAATATTTATATTACACTTCAGATGTCTTAAATCAGTAACACACCTACTCAAAATAGACCTGCAATGTAGATTTATTCTTATGCCCATGTTGCACATGGGAAACCTGAGGCTGAAAAAGAAAGCTATCCAGTGAATATGCAAGGGGAACAAATCTGAAATCCATCATTTACTAGGCAAGCAAGAAAAGTGTTGTCTTTGAAAAAAGCATAGAAAGTTCTAGTGTAAATTCCAGCTTTATGGAATCTACATCTAGTAAATGAAAAATACTAGATAGTATTTCACATGAACAGAAGAGCAGTATTTAAATGAAGTTACTCTCTTGAATGACCAGAACCTTGTGTTTACCAATTTATTTATAGAAATTAGTGTATTCATTGCAGAGATCAATTTCAGGTTTGTATAAATACTTACTAAAAATGAGTTTTGTGTTTAGTTTGCTTTGCAGTACTATGAATATCCTTATGAATTGTTCATCAGACTGTTAATAGCATCAATGACTTCAAAATGTAATAAACACTATCTTTCTTCAGCCCACCAGCCCTATCGAGTATCAA